TAACCTGTATGTTGTTTATGCTAAACCATTTTCTGAAAATGCTAATGCTGTACTCACTGATAAGTCTGTGCTTTGGCACCAAAGACTTGGTCATATGAGTAATAAAGGTTTGAACATCTTACAAAAAACTGGGTGTTTTGGTAATGACTTGGTGTCACCTATACCATTCTGTGAAGGGTGTGTCTTAGGTAAACAACATAGGGTTCAGTTTCCTGTTTCTAGCCATCCTAGTGAGCCTAAGTCTAAAGCAGTCCTTGACTACATACATGCAGATGTGTGGGGTCCTTCCAGTGTCCCTACCCATGGGGGTAGGAGGTACTTCCTGTCCATAATTGATGACTTCTCTAGGAAAGTCTGGGTCTGTTTGTTAGAACATAAGTCTGATGTTTATGTTAGGTTTAAAGACTGGAAAGTTATGGTAGAAAACCAAACTGGATGTAAGGTTAAAACCCTTAGAACTGACAATGGATTAGAATTTTGCAATAGGGACATGGATAGGCTGTGTACTGAGAGTGGGATTAGGAGACACAAAACTGTGCCCTATACTCCCCAACAAAATGGTTTGGCTGAGAGAATGAATAGGACCCTTCTAGACAAAGTTAGGAGTATGTTAGCCACTTCTGGTCTTCCTAAGAAGTTTTGGGGAGAGGCTGTGACCACTGCTGCCTACCTGATAAACAGATCACCTTCTGTTCCTTTAGAAGGTAAATGCCCCGAGTCTGTCTTCTCTGAGAAACCTCTTGACCTGTCAAACCTAAAGGTGTTTGGGTGTGCAGCCTATGCACACCAACAGACTGATAAGATGGACCCTAGGTCTAAAAAGTGCATTTTCTTAGGTTATCCTGAAGGGGTAAAAGGGTATAGGATCTGGGATAGAAATCAGAGTGGTTTTAAGGTCATTATAAGCAGAAATGTTGTGTTTAATGAAAGTGATTTTCCCTGCTTAGTTAAAACTGTTACTGACCCTCAAACTGAATCTGATGTCACCTCTCCCAGTGAGGTGGAGCCTATCCAAACCACTGCTGCCCCTCTGTTAAATGATTTTGTTACTCCTGACCTGACCAACACTATGCATGACACCCACACCACCTTCAGTGAGGTGGAGCAGCCCAGTGGATCTAATGTTGATAATGAAACTATGCATGATGTGTTTACTGGTAATAACTCCACTGATGATAATGACCATTTTGAAACTGCTGCTGATAGTCAGGGTCTTGAAGACTATCAGTTAGCTAGAGATAGAACTAGAAGAAACATAAAGAAAATCTCTGATAGCATGACTGACTATGCTTTTCATCTGTATGACACTTCCTTGTTTGCATTCTCTGTCTTTGAAACTCTTGAGTTGAATGAGCCTAAAACCTACCAGGAAGCCCTCGCCTCTAGAGAATCTGAAAACTGGCTAAGTGCTATGAAAAGTGAAATTGATTCCCTGAAGTTGAATAAGACTTGGACCCTAGTTCCTAGGACTCCTAATTGTTCTGTTGTTGAGTGCAAATGGCTTTTCAAAGTTAAAGAAGAACCTAATAACATTAGGTTTAAGGCTAGGTTAGTGGCTAAAGGTTTCACTCAAAAGGAAGGGGTAGACTATGCTGAAATTTTTGCTCCTGTAGTAAAATTCACCACAATTAGGATGATGCTTGCCCTAGTTGCCCATAATGACTGGGAAATGAAGCAGATGGATGTTACAACTGCTTTCCTGCATGGTGAACTAGATAAACAGATTTTCATGACCCAACCTGAGGGTTTTGTAGACCCTAAGTACCCTAGACATGTCTGTCTTCTTAGGAAAGCCCTCTATGGCCTGAAACAGTCTCCCAGACAGTGGAATATAAAGTTTGACCAGTGTATGTCCTCCCTGAGTTTCAAAAAGGTCTGATTCTGACCCTTGCTTGTATTTTAAAAATACTGCTTCTGTATCTGTTTTCTTGTTGATCTATGTTGATGACATGCTTATCATTAGCCCCTCTGTGAATGCTATTAAGACTGTTCAAAAGTGTCTCTGTGAAAATTTTGCTATGAAGGACCTAAGAGATGCTAAGAGAATCCTAGGGATTAATATAATCAGGGATAGGAGTAGATGTACCCTTACCCTGAACCAGACCTCCTACCTAGACAAGGTCTTGAAAAAATTCAACCTTGACTCTGCCCAACCTGTAAATGTTCCTTTAGCAACCCACTTTGTGCTAAGCAAGGACCAGTCCCCAAGGACTGCTCCTGAGATAGATAGGATGAAGACTGTACCCTATTCCAGTGCTATAGGGTCAGTCATGTATCTCATGGTAAGCACAAGACCTGACATAGCTTATGCTGTTAGTTGCTTAAGTAGATACATGGCAAACCCTGGTATGTCTCACTGGACTGCCCTTAAATGGCTTCTTAGATACCTTAGGGGTACTTCTTCTCATGGTCTTGTGTTTTTTAAAACTGAAACTGGTATTTTGCTTACTGGCTATGTTGACTCCAATTATGCAAATGATAGGGATAATAGAAAGTCCACTACTTCCTATGTCTTTACTCTGTGTGGTTCCTGCATAAGTTGGAAATCCCAACTACAACCTATTGTTGCATTGTCCACTACAGAATCTGAATATGTGGCAGCCACTGAAGCCTTTAAAGAGGCTATTTGGCTTAAACGTATGCTAACTGAAATTGGTTTTCTTAAACAGGTTGTGACAGTTTACTCTGATAGCCAGTCTGCTATCCAATTGTGCAAAAACCCTGTATTTCATGACAGGACCAAGCACATTGATGTCAGGTTTCATTTTATAAGGAACATTGTTGATTCAGGTTGGATTAAGCTGTCCAAAATTGCTTCTGAATTTAACCCCGCTGATATGGGGACTAAATGTCTCACTTTTGAAAAACTGTTATCTTGTAAACGTATTCTTAATTTGGATTGTGGCTAGATAAGAACAGACAAAACAAGAAAAACCGGCAATGATGATACTCCCTTTCACAGTTGTGCTCTACATCACCAAGGGGACCAATAAGGTGGAGATTGTTGATGGTATTGGTCCACCTCAACTTGGCCTAACCCTTACCCATGCTGTCTTTGGTCCACCTCATTTAATAGTTTGGTCTCCTATTAAATAACTCTGTCCCCTTGTTTTTTTAATTTCGGTATGCAATATTGGCCTCTTATGAAAGATCATAAAAAATTATGAATTTTGATACTCCATTCATATTTTAAAGCTTCACACACTTTCTATTTTGGGATGTATTTAAAACTTCCATACACTTTTCTTTTTTGATAAGTTTTTCTTTTAGAAATACTCAACACCCTTACTTTTTCTACTTTTTATCCCATTTTTTGCTACTTTTTCACTTTTTCTCCTACTTTTTCTATACTATTCATTACCTCTACTATTCTCCATTAAATATTGTGTCATAACCTAATAATTCTTTGGGAAAAGGGGCAAAAGTGCCCCTGAAGTTGTCATCAAAGGGCATTGATGCCCTTAAACTTTATTTGTGTGCAAAAAGCTTTAAAATGTGTGAAAGGAGGGCAATTACCCCCTTGGTTAATGGTGAACATGCATTTGTTTACGGTGGACCATGCAACATAAAGTTTCTCCTTTGGCGGGCGTTTACTACGTACGGAGTATAACAAATCAAATACCAATAGTGCTTCTTCATGTTTTCAAAAAAAAAAAAATAGTGCTTCTTCATAAGCATCTATAAAGAAATTAATGATTACAATGATGAATCACTTACTAATTGACTTATTAAGATGAATCACTTACTAATTGACTTATTAAGATGAATCACTTACTAATTGACCTATTTTTCGGCTTATCAACCAACTTTTTTATCAAACACGTAATTTTTAATTTCGCGCACCGAATTGTGTAATAATAAAAAAATTAGGTAGAAGTTACTTTTCCGGCTAGATTGGTTGAAGTTAATGTAGATGATCATTTAACTTGTTTTTTAATATAATTTTTTTCTTATTTTATTAATAAAATATATTTTAAAAGTATTTTTCATAAATTAGCAGAATCGGCCAATACAGTCGATTTGATTATTACATCAGATGCACGAATAAAGAAGCCTATTTATCGAGAAGTGGAGAAAACTTGTGCTGGATAGACTGATAGCACCAATGCTGTGATACAAAATTTTCACTAAATTCTTAATATATTTTTAAAAACCGAATGAAATCGAACCGAATTAAAATATTCAATGGATTTTTAATACTTCCTCCATCCCCGAAACAACTTCCCGGATTGTACAAATTGTGTACAAAAAGTTTGTACCCCTAGCTCCACCCACTCCCCATAGCAGGATCTAGCACCCCCCCTGGCAAGTCAGGCCTGGCAAGTCCCCCGCCTCTGCCCGACGAGTCTGCCGCCGCCCTGTGAGTTCACTGTGCAGTGGAGAGTTGTACCGAAGAGAGAGACATGTATGAGAATGTGTAAAAATGTTATGAATCATAAATTCTTTGCTAAAAAGAAAAAATATTTTTTGGGACAGACCAAAGGAACTTGACAGATAATTTAGGAATTGAGCAAGTATTATTCTCTATTAGTAAAAAAACAACAAGAAAACAAAAAAACATTTACTTCTTAATAGAGTACTAGCTGAAATTAAAAGAGAACAATAACAAAGATACTATCAGATTTAATTTGTTAACACGGCCATAGTAATCAAAGGTTCAAACTTAAGTATACTGCGTACTAGGTCTGTTATGCTTCACCTGTTAGAGAGGGGTTTGCCCTTCTTTAATAGATTTTAAAGTTTTTTGCACAAAAATAAAGTTTAAGGTCATAGATGTGATGACAACTTCAAGGGATTTTTGCCCCTTTTCCCTAGGTCTTTTAAATACGTATATGTTTTGTAAAAATTAGTGTAAAAATGTTAACACGTAACATCAATATAAAATACTTTTTTATTAGATACGGAGTACATAAACTGATTTTTAACCATTTTTGTCGGGTTCCAAATTTGGGGCCCTAAATTTAAACATATTGGTGTAGTTCATTGACTTCATTCAGGTTTTTCAAGGTGGTTAGATATTTTTTATTTCGGTTTTCCGTTTTTCTGTTCGCAATGCCCTACTTAGTACTTAAGCATGGGAGGCAATTTTGATGGTAATAGGCATTTTTTGGAACGACGGCGCATGAACCCAGCCGCCGGCAGAGAGAAGGCGAAAGTATGGAGACGGAAGGTCGATCGCCCGGCAAAGACTCTGTTTCTTCTATCGGTAGAGCGTTTCTTTGTGATAAAGAACATCGAAAATGGCATTGAATCAAACTGTTCGGTGACGGAGCTGCCAAATCGCTCTATGGGTATGCTGGAATTGGAGTCCAAGATTTTCTTGGTGGGCGGTCAAAAGAAAGGCAGTTTCGGTATGAATCCTGATTTCGATGATGCCTTTCCCAGAGAAATCTATGAGGTGAAACAGCTTTCCGATTCCGTGTCCATAGTTCCTTCCACAATCATGCCAAAGCTGAACGAGGGGAAGTTCCATACAATTGCCCAAAAGTTTGGAAGCAAGATATTTGTACTGCACATGGGCCCTAATTTCAAGTTGGACAAGTTGACAAGGAGATACTCAACTAGAGTTTTTGAGTGTTTCGATTCTGCTTTTCCAGAAAACGGTTGGGTTGTGAAATCAGGTATACCCTTTTTTGATGGTGCCTTGGACGAGGGAGTGTATATCGTGCATGGGTTCTATAGAATAGGGGAGAAGCTCTACTTGAACGTGAATTGGAAAGGAGAGAGGTATTATGTTTTTGATTTCAAGACAGAGGAATGGTCCAAGGATGACTGTTTTTATGTGGGAAAACATAGCTATTATGGCTGTCCAAAGCGTGCTGTCTCAGCTCCTGGTTTAGATGATGACACATATATCCTCTTTGGATACCTTAATGTGTACTTTTTCGAAGTTCGAGCTACGCTTTTCACGCAAGGAAAAGGATGCTCCTGTTATCAAAATGTGGACGGAATCTTCGACTTGGAAGGATTGGGAGGAGACGAGATGGGCTTAGATGTGGTTGAGATAGGAAATGGTGACTACTTTGGCCTGCTGACAGCTAGGGAATTCAAAACAGGTGACTATTATCTTCTTGTATCAACCTTTTCACTTGAGGTACTCGCTGCTCGAGTGCCACCTATCCAATCTCTCGATAAGCCTATCAAAATGAAATTCTTAAGCATTAACCGCAAGAACCAACTGAAATTCAACATCACTGGGGTTGATTTCTCTTATTTTGCTGGAGCTGCATGTCTTTAGGTATTGTTTGCACCTCAGTTTCTCTTTGAGCATCTATTTGTGGTGCCTATATATTGCAGTATAATTAGATTTGAACTCCCTAAAAATGGATTTTGTGTTCATTAATACTACCTTTTAAATGATTGCTGGTTCTGCGAGTCTCTGGATGGTCCCTTTATGCTGCCCTGCAAGGTTATGGCCATGCTTACTTAATTAGTTCCTTTTAGCTATGTGTGACCCGCTAGCAGAATCTTTTAAGCTTCAATTAATTTCTATTATCCCTGTGTTTATGAGACTAAAGAGATGATCAATTTTTTAGTGGAACCCTATACTACCATTCTTCACGCTGCCACTGTTAGTTATCTATTTATCTACCCATCTATCTTAATTGACAATTACCAGTTTCAATTGTGATTTAATCCCGTGTACCATATTTCTTATCACTTTAACCGAACGATCCTAAAACACATCTACGGCTCTTATTAAAAGATCGTTCATTCCTTTTTTCTTCGCTCACCACATGTTGTCGTTCACTCCCCTTCTCACAACAGCTGACCATCCGAGTTCACTCCATTCCTAGATGAAAATGACCTCAATAACACTTCTTCGCTCATCGCAATCCATCCGAGTTGAAAAGCTAGAGAAGCAGTTCTTCTAATTCACTTATCGGAATCTATCCGAGTTGAAAAGGTCGAAAGCAATTCTTCTTCTAATTCGCTCATTAGAGTCTTGAAAACCTCGGAAGCTCTCACATTCCAGGGCCCGGCCGAATTTCACTTCAATCCACATATGATTCTATATTACATTCATGCTCTTCTCATATGCCTTTTCAAATTTGTGTTTGGGAGAGTACACTGCCTTCTTCCATTCTCTTCTTGATTTCAAGCTGAAAAGTTATGGAAATGTAGAATAAGATGGTTGCTCTTCCTTTAGATGTCATCAGTTTTCCTGCAATTTTCCTCTCTTCAAGGTCAACTAATCCCTCTTTGCTTCTTTATTCGAATTTAAATTTTTATAATTGATTATTGAGCTGGATTTCTATTCGATTTCAGATTGTCTCAAATACATGACGATCTTCTGCTACAAAATCAACCAAGCAAAATTGAGGTCTTTTTAGATTCATATTCAATATTCATTCTTTATTTAATTATTCATCATCTTTAAATAGAATAATTGATTCCTTCTTTATTGCTTGATTTGATTAATTTTGCTTTCGGATCCTATCTGTTACATTGTGAAGAATGGACATGTGAAGTTATAACCAAAGTTTTGTTGTTGTATGCCTTATATTTATTAGATGTAGATATCAAATAAAGATGTGAGCCTTTCTTTGCGCATTCAATGTTGATAGAGTGCAAAGGTCTAAAAATTTATAGGCGATTTTCGAGCTACAGCCTCCACAAAGCTGCACTTTTGTAGCAAACGATGTTATGTTAATCTATATACTAGAGCTCCTTATGTATGAATATATAATTACCAAGATGTATTTCAGTTTTCAGCTTAAAGCAAGGGTGCATATCCTTAAAAAAAATCACAGTTATTCCTACTCTTCTAACTTACTGTGCATAAACATATCATTATACATTTCAATAAGTTATGCATCAATACCAGTTAGGAATCTTAGGGTGCATATGCCAATCGATATAGTTATTCTTAGGGTGCATATTATAGTCTTTAAAGAGCTAAACTCAGTGAGTTGATATTTAAACTATGATATGCTATTAAGTTAAGTGTGAAAAAAATAGAAAGTTGAGATTTTAAAATACAAACCTCAAGTTTAAAGGTGTTACAAGAAAGTCATTCTTATGCCTAAATTCTAGAATGGGGGAAGAAGTAAATGGTCATGTGATATAGTTCATAATATATGAAGCCCAAAATGAAAGTTAAAACAAGAACGGAAATCAGAGTTTTTTCCTGGAATAATGCTAAATAAATAAATAATTCCCAAAATACTGTTGGGTTTAAAATAATTCCCAAAATACTGCTGGGTTAACCGTGGTTAAGGAAAGCCGCCATTTGAAGTGGCGGTTTTTCTCTACACAGTACAAGAGCCGCCACTTCAAGTGGTGGCTTTTCTTAAAGAATAACGCAAACGTAACATATGTTGAAGTCTAACAATAAGGGAGTGTTTGCGGTTGCTTAAAAAAAGTGCTTTTCAGCTTTTGGCTTAAAAAAGTTGAAAAGAGTGTTTTCAAATGACAGCTTCTGCTTAAATTAATCACTTAAAAGCAGTGTTCTAAAAGGCCCAATAAGGCGCCGCATAGGCGGGCCTAGGCCCAAGGCGGGAACAAAATGCCCCGCTTACCCTAAACGCGTGACAAAAGGCGTGCTGGCCCACAACTTAAATTTTTTTACTGTATTTTGAACCTCACACTCTCGCACACAGCCGCCACTATGCGGTAGTAGCGAACAATTTTAAACCGAGCAGGCTTGGTCACATGCTTGAAGCCAGAGGGACACATCTACTCCGTATTATATAGAGTATTGGGAGATAGAATGCTGTCTCTCCTTCCAGTGTGGTATTTCGTATACTCTGCACCGTGATGAATTGCTTGGTCTTAGGAGTATGATGAAGAAGAGGAAAATGATAAGAACACCAACCATGCGGGTCTATGTCTTTTTTTTTTTTTTTTTTTTTAAATGAAAAACTTTATTAAAAAGAAGAAGAGTACAAAACGCTAATGAACATGGGTACAAGCCGAAAGCTAAAGTAAAGAAACAAAATCTAGTGAACAAAGAAACCAACTCCAAAGCACCACCCTGCAGATGAAATGAGAAGCCCAAACAGAACATCCACCGACCACCAATAAGGTGTCCCTAAATATCACGTTTTCGCAAACAGAACCCCAAGAAGAACCAAATCAACCCTACTTCTTCTCAGTAAACTTTTTTTCCTTTTTTTCCTTAAGGCGAGTACTCCTTCTAGGAACCAGTATAGAGCTAGATGAACTCCACTTGGGATCCGCAATAGAGTAATTGGGATCTGCCATACGGTCTAGCAGTTCACGGTCTGTAAGAAGCCTTCTTATAGGTGTTGTTTCTAATTCCTCTCCCAACCCCCTCGAACTTGAAGGAAAGGATACCTGAAGGGGTGTTACTTCTTGAATATCCTCCATCTGAACATCTATCTTCCAAGATTCCATCTGTAGCCCCCCTTGAGAAATCGTTTCTAAGACCTTTTCGACTTTATCTTCTTTCTCCTCTATTTCCACCAAAACACTATGCATATTCCCCTTTCCTTCTTTAATGTCTTCAAGTTCACTATCCTTGTCGTTAACTACAATATCCCCTGGCGTTGTGACTATACTCTCAGGCACCAAAACAACCTCCCTCAAAGAGTTGCTAGAATTACCCTCAAGATTAAGCAAATCCTCTCGGAAAAGTAGAGAGGATATAGATGTAAACTCTTCAAAACAACAATCCACCGTACTGAAACAGTTGGCTCCAGAGTCCTCAAAATCTGTCCTTATATGTCCCTTTGAAATTTGACACAACATATCTTGTTGATCCAATAAAGTAGAGGAAAACAGTTTGAATCCATCTCCTATTTGTCCTTCAGGAATAATAATTGTTTTTCTACCCTCATGCCTCAAATCAACCAAACGAATAAAGCCTCCAAATTCATTTTTCCCAAATGACATGTGAATTTTACGATATCCTTCATTTCTAACGAAAGTGGAAGAATTGCCAGATTTAATCAAACTAAATGAGTTACATAACCAATCTCCACCATCCTCATCTAGAGAAATTGTTAGAGAGGAATAGCCCTTAATCTGACTTATATGCATAATTGAAGGAGCCACATCAAAGCAAAAAAGTTTACTCTCTATTTTAATTTTCGACGTCGACCTTAAAGATGAAGAATTTGCTGAATTCTTTCCAGAATTATCTCCGTGTGTGCGTCGATCATACCTAAGCTTAGCCGATTTTCGAGAGAAAGTTTCTGATCGACCGCCTACAGGTCTGGATCGATGCCCTTCCCAGCCTCTGTTTTTGTACCTGAAATACGCCCCCGTTTTTGCACCTATGATGGATACCCATCTGTGAGAAAGACTACTGACGTGCACTTTGTCGTGAGTGCACTCAAAATAAATTCAACACTAGCACTTATACGTAGTATAGGTGAAGTAGAGTTCGTATCCACAGGGAAAGGAATAACTTTCTTTTTATATAAATAGTAAATAAAAGGGGGGGTTTTGATCGAGTGATTTGATTAAAATTAAACACGAAGATGAACGAGTTATGTGGTTTAATTCAAAGATAAAAGTGACTTGGCATTGCTACTTTCCACTTGTTGATATATTTTAGTCGATCATTGTTATATCTATAACTTATCTCCTCTCGAATACTCAATCGAGGAGTATATCCAATTCATCGAGGATAGTTATTAACAACGACCGTTCATTAATAACCCTTACTATTAGTCAAGTATAGAACAACGCCATATACCGACTTGATAGTAGCATTTAATCTTTTAACTCCTTGATGAAATCTGTAACACTTGAGATTTAATATAAACGGATTAATAGTACTACTCATACCAACAAGATGCATCTCCTTTTAAGGGAGCTCATCCGCTAAGAACTCCAAAGTTAAGCGTGCTTGCACGAGAGTAGTCTTGGGATGGGTGACCCCCTGGGAAGTTTCTCAGGGCGCGCATGAGTGAGGACAAAGTGTGCGGTAAAGGCTTGTGGTGGTTTGTGAGGACAGTACTATTGGTCCGGAGTAACTACCTCGGGTCCAGTGGGGCCGGGGTGTTACAGGTGGTATCAGAGCAACCCCGCGACAGTGTGATGACCCGTTGGATATCGGGCGGGCACTTAGCGGGGGAAGATTCTGGGATTTGATTGAGATTTGAGATTGGTTTATGGGCGCAACGAGGACGTTGCGTTCCTAAGTGGGGGTGATTGTAACACTTGAGATTTAATATAAACGGATTAATAGTACTACTCATACCAACAAGATGCATCTCCTTTTAAGGGAGCTCATCCGCTAAGAACTCCAAAGTTAAGCGTGCTTGCACGAGAGTAGTCTTGGGATGGGTGACCCCCTGGGAAGTTTCTCAGGGCGCGCATGAGTGAGGACAAAGTGTGCGGTAAAGGCTTGTGGTGGTTTGTGAGGACAGTACTATTGGTCCGGAGTAACTACCTCGGGTCCAGTGGGGCCGGGGTGTTACAAAATCAATTGAGATTGATAACCTTAACACAACGGTTTCGGTTTAACCAACAAAATTAATCCCTCTTAAGTTTATTAACCACGACCGTGCATTAATAAACCGAAGTTACTTACTTGTGAAACTATCAACGATTAACCATCGGTTCGTTGATCATTTCTAGTAATAATTAATATATGAAACAAAACTAGTTGATCCTTTAAGTAATGTTCAAAATATTAATATGAAATATGAATAGGAATTAATTTATACTCAAGGAAGAATATTAAAGGGAATGAATCCTACTATAGTTAAATATCAAGATGTTAACTAATTGTCATCTTAGCAACACTCCCTGATATTAACATAGAGGGAGGAATAGCTATTACTAAAACCAACGTCAAGATGTTAACTAATTGTCATCTTAGTAACACTCCCCAACATTGATATAGAAATAGTATTTAAGAGAAGCATTAATATTCAAGGAAAGAAGTTAAGAAAATAACTCACAACTTTGATAATCAACAAGCTTCAAGAGCAATACCAAGAAATGGAAGTTTAGCTCCTCATTTGGAGACTAAACATGCTAAAAGAAATATAAAGAAATGCTATTCTAAACTGAGCTTAAGAGTATAAAGGAATTGGTGTCCTAAAAGTGAAGGAAAGGAGGTGTATTTATAGGCTTTTTTCGGTGCAGGTCGAGTACTCGATCGAGTATATATACATACTCGATCGAGTATGTGTAGAACATCGAATTCGCCCTATACTCGATCAATACTCGGGTAGTTTTTATAGCTATACCCGATCGAGTATAGACACTCGAACGTGGGAAAATCTTCTCCTGCATGTTCCTTTGTTTTCGGATCCGATCCGATTTGAAATGTCAACCAGATACCCGATCGAGTATATGTATATACTCGACCGAGTATAGACCAAAATCAGGATTTTTCCTTCTTTTTGTCTTGTATTCTTGCACCTTCCTTCACCATTGATCATTTGATTGATCTTGGACCTGTTTAAGCTCAGAATAAACCTAATCTAAACAAATTACAAGAATTTAACAAACTAAACTATTACACCGAAAGTGTGTAATTTCCGAAATATTAAACAACCAAAACTATCTAAAAACGTAAATAAATACACGGAAATTACAAACATATCAACTCCCCCACACTTAGTTCTTTACTCATCCTCGAGTAAAGTTCAATGTTTACAAGTGTAAAGATTCCCGAGTTCCAATAGATTCAACAAGATAAAAACACAAAGACCACCAAGGATAAAATATGAGTTTTAATGCTAAATATCATCTTGGGTTTTATGGTCTTCTAGTGTTCATCTTCTCTTCCTCTTCTCCTTTTTCTTCTTCTTCTTCTTCCTCTTAGAGATCAAATGAGTTCCTGCACACAGAAAAAA